CTGCCGTCCCGTACTGGCAATGCATTTCGTCGATTTGTGTTGTCCTGCAACGCAAGCCGTGTCAGGTCCCCTGCAACAGTGCCCCCGCCTTAGATACCCAACCCATTGAGCAAAAATCAAGACGGAGATTTTTCGCCACTGTCGGCCTCTGGGGGCCCTCGCCAGACCCCGGGACCGAGGTCCACAAGACGGCTCAGAATGGGAAGCCGGCCCCAGGGAAGGGGCTGGGACTTCCAGGGGCCCCGTGTGAGAACTCCTCCCCCCCTGCCCTCCTGCTCCTCCTCTTGGCTTGGCAGGGCTCCGGGCTGCGCGCAAGCAGTTCAACACCCTGTGCGCAACCCGACGACGATCCCCAGATCCATGCCTGATGGTCCGGGGGCCCGACAGCGGGCCGTGGAGGAGGAAGAGGAGGAGGAGGAGGAGGAGGAGGAGGAGGAGGAGGAGGACGAGGAGGAGAAATCGCAGAAGAACGTCCGGATTGAAACACGCCGCATCGTCGAACATCCGGAGTCGTGAGGGAGGAGGTGGCTCTGTGCGGCTGCCTTCCTCTTGGCAGCGGCCACGGGGGCCTCTGCTTCCCGGGCCGAACCTGGCCAGCCTGTCGAGCCGCATCCAGCCGTGGCGACGAGGGGCCCCCTTTCTGAAGGGGCCCTGGGACACACAAATTCGCCGGCCCAACGGGCCAGAGGCGTGCTAAGATCTCCGGTAACTGGTTAACAATTTTCTAGTTCGCGCGCGCGGGGCGGCCCCTGGGGGTCCCCGGACGAAAAGTACCCCGACCAGGTCCCGGCCGGTCCCCGGCCGGGTCCCGGCCGGTCCCGGCCGGGTCCCGGCCGGGTCCCTCCCGAGCGCTCCATGAGCGCACCAACAGGGCTCCGAGACGTCCCCGAGAGCCCCAAGAAAGGCCAAGAGGCCCCCAAGAGGCCCCCAAGATGGTACACGAGGGGTCCGACATGCCACAAGATCGCTCCAAGACGCCCAAGATAGCCCCCAGACGCCCCAAGAGGCCTCCAAGAGCACTCCCAATAGGGCCCCCGGAGGCAAAAATCATTGTTTTTCCATAGGTTTTTGAGAGATTTTGGAGCTTCCACCTTTTCGGCTTCCCGACGCCCCAAGACGGCCCAAGAGGCCCCCAAGATCGCCCCAAGAGGGCCCAAGAGGCACCCAAGAGGGCCCCAAGATGGCCCAAGAGGGCTCGAAGACGGCCCAAGAAGCCTCCAAAACGGTCCAAGAGGGCCCCAAGAACGCCCCCAAAGGGGCCCCAGAGAGGGAACACGAAACAACATTTCGAGCCCTCGGCCCTAAGAAGCCCCTACGAGGCCCCTAAGAGGCCCCAAGAGGCCCCCACGGGGCCCTCAGGAGGCCCCCAAGAGTCCCCCAAGCGGCCCCAGGAGGCCCCCCAAATGCCCCCCCGAGCGCCCCAGGAGTCCCCCAAGCGGCCCCAGGAACCCCCAAAGCGCCGCATTGACACCAGGCCCTCGGGCAAACGGCAGACATGAGACTGTATGGGCCGGCGGAATGAGCGAAGCGATTAAATAAATACACACAAATAACCGGATTCCCTACATTTTCGTATCTTTTCTGGGTTTTTGTCTTCCCCCCACTTTCCATATTGTTTTAGATTTTCAGAGAAATCGAGGATGATTGGTGTCGGTGTGTTTCTTTCCCTCTTGACTTTCCTCCCCTGGGCCCCCCCAGCCCCCCCCCCGAAGTACCACCCCATCCCTCTGCGCACCTCTTGAGCCGGATCGGCCCGTGATGGCCCCGCCCGGGGCCCAAAAGCAAGGCGCAGACGCCCCCGCGTGAAACCGCTGCCGCACGCCCGGAGCTCAGAACCCCGGAGGGCTCCAACCCGACCCTCCGCCGGGGATCCGATGTCTGGCTTTTCCATGTTTTGTCTTCCTTCCAACCTCATCAGTTCGAAAAACAGAGGGCTGGAGGCGGCACCCCTCTGTGTTTTGGCCCAGCCTGCAGCGCTTTGGGAAACAGGAGGTCGGGGAGACGCGGGAGACCGTGTCTCCTACCCCCGCCCACACCATACAGGCCTTGCTGTAAGGTGTTTGGCTTTTCCAGATGTGCGGGGCCCCCGCAATCCCGACCCTTTCCCCAGGGCCTGAGTTTCATCCCGAGTAGCGTCTGTTCAAGGCCCCCAGGGCCCGGCGATGGCCCCCGGAGGCCGCACACGGCGAACAGCCGTTGTGTTATGATTCGCGAGAACGGCCGTGACTGACTCCCTGGTCCCGCCATGCTTCGCGCCATGGCGGCCATGACCGACTCCCTGGTCTCGTCGTGCTTCGCGCTGGCGCCGTCTGGGAATTAGCCCTCCCTCGCATGCCCAGACGTCGCCGGCGCGAATCGTGACGCGACTGGGCCCCTGGAGCACACATCGGAGACCATACAGGAATCCGGGGTCGAGGGCTCCCAGTCGCCCCCACACTCCAGATGGGATGGGCCCCGAGGTTCCACAGGCCCGCAAACGCCGACGCCGAAGCTGACGCCGACGCCGACGACGACGACGACGACGACGACGACAACGATGACGACGCCGCCCTCGCCGCCCTCGCCGCCTCCGTCGTCGACGCCAACGCCGCGGACGACGACGACGAGATGACGACGACGACGACGACGACGACCACTACGACGACGGCGACCGCGGACGACGGACGATGACGACGAAAGCGGGCGACGGACGACGGACGACGGACGACGGACGACGGACGACGACGACGACGACGACGACATCGACCGAAGACGACGACGACGACGTCAGCGGACGACGGACGACGGACGAAGACAGACCACGGACGACGACGACGATGACGAACCACCCCATACCCACAGGGGGAGGCCGGGGGTTGCACCAGCACCATCCACCACGCCACGCCCACAGTCCACGACCACAAGGGGGGAGGGGGGAACGATCCCATTCGCGAAGCCTTCGCGAGGCTCACGGGCATACCCATGGGCTCGATCCCATGTGCATGGGGGGGGGAGGGGGAAGGGGGGGGGGGGAACCCTGGGTCATATATCAGCCACATCCCTGAGGCCTGTTTTTCATTCCGAATGGTCTTTTGACGGTCCCGAAAATCCCAAGAGGTCGAAAACGCAGATTTGGACGCCCGAAGTGGGTACGGAAAAAAATTGCACAATGACCAACAGCAAATGTTGTCCAAAACCGACAACGGCCGCTGCTGAGCAGGCGGCCTTCTGTCTCAAATGGGCAACGACCGCGGCCTCGCCGCCAACGAACCCTGCCCAGAAGGAACCGGGACTGCTCTCGGTCTTTAAGCCCGCTCTTTCCGTGCCCATTTGGAACGTCCCGAGCTGAAGCGCCTCCGCCTCGAGTGGGCGTCGCCGTATGGGAGGACGATAATCGGGGATGGACAGGCCCCCCTTTAGTAAAACGTTGTTTAGTGAAAACGACCTGAGGCCCAAACCTGGCGGGCGTAGGCCTGGAAAATAACAGCCTCGGCGCCCTCTCGAGAACCGAGAACGGACAATTCACTGATCGACGTGTCACTCTTGGGGCTCTGTCCACCCCCGAGATAAATGAGGGGGGGTTGGGCGGGGGAAAGGTGCACATCTCGGGCCCTGGAGGCCCCCTTCTGGGGGCTCTGAGAGGGCCGCTTTTCGCTGCAGCCGTCGCTCCCCCTCCATTGTTGTCGCTCCCCCTTTTCCGCGACGCCCGCCTCGACTCTTGCTCGAGTCACCGGACGTCTGGGTAACGGGGACCTCGCGAAGGTCATGAGGAAGGGCCTGAGATCCGGGCCTCAGGAGGCGGAGGAGGAGGAGGAGGAGGAGGAGGAGAAGAAGGACAACCAGGAGGAGGAAAAGGAGGAGGAAGAGGAATCCGCCGACCCTGTGTCGGCGTGCGTGAGGGGTTGTTCGTCCTCGTCGTCCTCGTCGTCGTCGTCGTCAGTGCAGTGCTCGAGCGGCCTTGAGGGAAACCGACACACGTCGCAACCACGTCAAAGGGAAGCCCCTTCCCTTTGATCCCTCCCCCGTCGGGGGGGGGGGTCCTGGGCAGGGTGGGGTGGGGGGGGTGGGGTGGCAGATGCGACTCCGCCCCGGGGGTCTCCTCCTCCTCCCCCCTCCTCCTCAGCCTCCTGCTCCTCCTCCTCCTCCTGCTCCCTCCTCCTCCTCCTCCTCCTCCCTCTCGTGCTCCTCCTGCTCCTCATGCCTCCTCCTCCTCCTCCTCCTGCTCCTCCTCCTCTCTCCTCCTCTCTCCTCCTCCTCCTCCTCCTCCCTCCTCCTCCTCTCCTCCTCCTCCTCCCTCCTCCTCCTCCTCCTCCTCCTCCTCCTCTTGGTTGTCCTTCTTCTGTTTCTCCTCCTCCTCCTCCTCCTCCTCCTCCTCCTCCTCCTCCTTCTCGTCCTGGTAGTCATCCTTCTTTTCCTCCTCCTCCACCTCCACCTCCTGCAAAACGCTGGAGGTCTGGGTCCTGCGAGCGACAGCGGTGGTGCGCACGCCCAGGGCCCCCACCCGCGCCGCGCCCCGCGGAGGCCCCGCCGGGCGGCGCCGCCCCGCCCCGGCAGGGCCGGCCGCTCAGCAGGAGCTCGCAGAGGAGCAGCAGGAGCGCGGCGCGCGGCGCCGCGGCGGCCATCCTACAGGGCAGGTTTTAATACATAGGATTTTGAAACATATAGGATTTTTAGTGCATGATCAAGTTATGAATGAATATATGCATGAACTCATCGTTGTTTGAATGCTACGCCCCTGCATTTTTGATACATGATCCGCACGCGGAGCATGTATTAAAAACAGCACTGTACGACCAAGCCAGGACGAGGACCAAATCGGGTAGGGATAAATCGAGAACCTCTGAGATCTGGCGAGTCTGGAAGACGTCTGGGGCGCCGCGGCCTTCTCTGAACGTTCCGGAGCGCTCTGGGAGCGTTCCGGAGCTCCCGAGGGAGCCACCCGAACCGTTCGAACCCTACTCTGCGGCGAGCGAGGGGGGGAGGTGAGGAAGAGAAGGCCTTCTCACTTTTCGAAGGCGAAAACCGTGTCGCCGCCGACCTCGAGGTCGACCCACCATCCGGACCTCCCGAGGGACCAGCAAACAAACGACACCAGCCCACAGACGGCCCCACGCGCCTTAGCAAATACATGCCATGAACTCGGGCCCGATGGGTCATCCGAACCCTACTCGGCGGCGAGCGAGGGGGGGGAAGTGAGAAGGATGCCTTCACAGGAGGGGGCGGGACTTTTCGGAAACCCTCCTGCCCTCCGAGGAGGTCTCGGTGTCTTCGGGGAAGGCTTCGAACACTTCCGAGGAGGCCCTGGGAGCGCCCGAGCCTTCCCAGGAGGCCTTTTCCTTCTCCCTTCCCCCCGTGCTCGCCGCCGACCTGCCTGCCCCCACCACGCGTCGACTCTGCTGCATCGATGGGAGGCGGGGGCAGGGCTCGGATTTCGCCGCGTGCTCGACGGAGTCCGAACCCTGATGGGCCTGTTTTCCACCACCACCACCAGAAGTTGGAGGGGGGAAGGAGGTGGAGGACGAGGAGGAGGAGGAAGGAGAAGGAGGAGGAGGAGGAGGAGGAGGAGGAGGAGGAGGAGGAGGAGGAGGAGGAGGAGGTGGAGGTGGAGGTGGAGGAGGACCCCCTTCCCCTCCAACTTATGGTGGTGGTGGTGGTGATGGTGGTGGTGGAAAACAAGCCCATCAAACTCTACCCCCGCCGCACCGTCGAGCTGCCTGAGCGGTTGATCGGCGAGGGTGGGGTGCGGATTTCGCCTCCGAATCCTCCAGAGGGGCCTCGGAGAAGCCCCAGCCCAGACATTCGGCGTCTCGAAAACATCGAGACGGAAACCTTTAATCGTGGTCGGCCTCTCGGGGCCATCGCCGGGCCTCGGGACCGGCAAAGAACGACTCGGGATGGAAAACCGGTCCCAGGGAGGTGGTCGAGTCGGGGGCCAGTGTCTCGAACAAATCGAGAGGCCAGATGTGGAACCCAGCGTCGAAAAGTGTTTGGCACGCGGCGCCGCGGCAGCCATCCTTTAGAGGGGCCTCGAAGTAGTTGCCTGTTAATGAACCCCATACTCCCTCAGGGGCTTGACGACGTTTCGCTCATCGACTTATGGGGATCAAGCCGGGTAAATCAAGGTCAATGCTGACACGTCTTGCCCAAACCAGGCAAATCTAGGTACATCCAGGTAGATCCACTGATCTCCAGGGAAACATTGAGCAAAACGTGAGTCGAGGCACAGCAAAAGTCGTTAAGCCCTCAACGACCTAACCAACAAACACGGCTGCCCATGTTGCACGTTCATTGACCACTCCTTCTGTGGGATGAGCTGTGAGCTATGTCTACGTCGCAGAGCGGGGGGGGGGTCCGGGAAGGAGCGCGCCTATCCTTGCCATAAAGACTTGCCCCGATCTGCGGCCGCCCCGGCGACCTCCAAAGCCGACCTGGAGATCTGGGCCAAGGTCGTATATTGCACACAAATTTGGACGCCCGAAATGGGTACGGAAAGAATGGGCACAATGCCCAACAGCGAATGCTGTCCCAAACCAACAGCGGCCGCTGTTGCGCGGGCGGCCTTCTCTCAAATTGACACAGGCCGCGGCGGCGCGGACAGCGAGTCCTGTTCAGAATGAACAGGAACTGCTATTGGGCATCGTACCCATTCTTTCCGCGCCCATCTCGTTCGTGCAGAACAGAGTCCTCCAGAGGGACCCCGAAGAGAAGCCCCAGGACCCCCGGAGGGCTGTCCTCCAGCCCAGACCCCCTCGAGTCGTGACGAAATCGAGGCGAAAGGGTTTGGGCGCTTTCGGTCTCCCGGGGCCCTCGCCGCGCCCCAGGACTGCGAAAGCACGTGATGAAAGACCGGTCCTGGGGAAGGGGTCCAGACCTCTGGGGAGCGACTTTGCGAAATCAATGATGACGTCGAGGGGCTGGGAGGAGGGGGCTCGACAGGGCCTCTAGGAGGCCCGGATAGGCAGCCACAGATTTCTGAAAAGCCAGCTGGGGGTCAGAATTTGAAGGGTGTCTGCAGCCAGGTGAAACGCAGCGGGGTGTCTGAACCCCAGCGTCGACTGGACCCGCTGGGGTAGGGCTCGGCAGCAGAAAGAGCCCACGCCAGCACCCCAAGAGAGAGACTCGAGAGCCCCCCAAGGAGGGGCCTCGGAAGCCCCTCTGGGGCCCCTTTCGATGGCATGATGCTATGAGCCCAGGATGCGCTTCAGGAGTAGCGGCCCCCTCGCTTCTGCAGCCCGTGTGAAAGATCAGGGTACCCTGGAACTCCTCGAAATCGGCTACACGCAAGAGTGACCCTGGGTAAGAGTGACCTTTGGTGCGCGGCTCTTTGGGGGACCGCGGGGGGGCCAACACACAAGCGCGCAAGACGCCACTGCCGCCTCGCGTTCGGAGATCGGGGGACCCCATTGGGCCCGCACCAGAGGTCACTCCGGCGAAAGGTCACTCTTACGTCTAGTGGATCGAAAGGTCTCCTGGGCCTCCTCCCCCCCAGAGGCCCCCCCCCGAGGGCGGCTCCGAGGGCCCCGGCGCCAGGACCCCCGTCCCCCGAGGCAGCGGGGGCGTCCAGAGAGGGGGGGGGGGGCCGCAGGTCATGGCCCGAGGCACGCGCGCGGCCCCAAGGGGGGGGGGCCCCGGAGACGTACTGAAAAGAAGGACCGTGAGGTCCGTGGAGATCCGTATCAGAATCCCAGGGAGATCCGTGGAGACGTACAGGGCAGTTTTTAATACATAGGATTTTCAAAAATATAGGAATTGGAATACATGATTCATGTATGAACGAATATATGCATGAACTCATCGGTGTTTTTAATACAGAATCCCTGTATGTTTGAGTCGTGATCCGCACGCGGAGCATGTATTAAAAACGGCACTGTACTGAAGAGGGCGCCCAAGGAGGGGCCCAATCATGATGCAGTCAGCCCGTATCAGAAGAATGCGCGGTAAGGCTGCATGGGCCTTGGAGGGCCATGCTGGCGCTGTTGGAACGAGGTTGGCCAGCGAAAGTCGCCGAGGATGGGCCGAAAGGGAAGGATGCCAGGGTAAGCTTGGAAAGTCGCTCATCCTTACCGTGCGGGACGACTGTATCCCCCCCTAGTCTTCGGTCGGGCACGTCCTCCTACAAGCGGATTTTGGAAGAACATTCCAAACGAGTCAAGCACACGCACAATTCATGCAACACATCGTCCCCAGACCCTCGTTTTTCTGTGCTCGAAGCTTTCTCCTGTAGAGGGACATGCCCGACTTGACCCTAAACATTAGACCCCCTCTTGGCCGCCCCCGACGGGTTGGCACGCCCGCGCCGGGTAATCGTGCAAACCCGTGGGCACGGTGCCCGACAGCAACGTGCTGCCCCAAGCCGACGGCGGCCGCTGCTGGGCAGGCGAGCCCGGGCCACCGCGGACGGCGCGAAGCCTGGCCAACACGGGCAGGCACTGCTGCTGGTCTTCGTCCCCACGCTTCGACACGAATGAGGGGGGGGCCAGGGACACACGAATACATAGACACAAAGCCCAGGATGCTCCACATCTTCCTGCATTTTCTGGGTTTTCGTCTTTCCCCCCCCCCCACTTCTCGTATTGTCCCAGATTGTCCTGGGAGTCGACTAAGAATTGTGTCTATGTGTTGATCGCCTCCTGACATTAAGAGAAAGATGAGGGGGGAGGGGCGGGGGTCTGGCTCTGGGACCTCTGCTTCGTGCAACTGTTTAGGAGCAGTGCTCCCGTGGGGCATCCTATGGGGAGGCGGGGCCCCCGTGCTTACTCCAGCTGCTTGAGACAACGATCGCATGTCGGTCGTACCGAACTTGAGCAGGGACCGACCGTCCCAGCATTCCTATAGGCCTAAATATGCTAAGGATACAAAAAAAACAATGTTCTTAGAACGGAATGCCGCTGTGTGAAACAAGACAGAGACAGTCTCGGCCAGAAATGCTCCAATATTAACATGTCGTGCAGGCCACGAGAAAAGGCCTCTAGCAAACGCTCAGTGGTGGGCCTGTAGGCACGCCAAGACGCTTCGCCACTGCTTGACGAACGGAAAGATCCGCGGGACGATGCGTCGGGGAGACGTAAGACTCGGGTACGGGGGACTCGGGTTGGCCCGACGGGGCCATCATAAAAATGACGAGGCCCAATCTGAAATTTGACGCGAGCTCCCGCTGCAGACATCCCACGAAAACTGGACCGTCAAAATCCAGGACGCGCTCGTCAAAAAAACGTCGGCAACCCGAATTCCGGCTTACTCAGGTCTTGCGCTTCCCCGAATGTGGTGAGCCGGCCGGGGAGGTCCTCGGCCCAACCGGCCACGGCCACGGCAGCCCGAGCTGCCCGCGGCCCCGCCGAGGCCCGGGGGCGCGGCGCGCGGCGCCGCGGCGGCCATCGCGGGCCGGCCCTGGGAAGAACACGCGGCCCCTCGCCATCGCTCGGACGTCCATTCCCTCTGTTTTTTTTCGGTTTCGTGCGTGGTACTTTTTGCCAAATGATTAAGGATGCTCCTCGATGGTCCTCGCCGAAGGAAGAAGGCACACGTCCGAGCGATGCCAAGGCCCAGACCCTGAGCCTGCTGCGGCTGCCCGAGCGGCGCCTGGGCACAGCACCACGCTTGGACGCCCGTCGGGCTCGGGTGCA